GCAGGTGGTGGCCCGAGAAGGCCCCATGGGACGGTGGGGGCAGGGTCCCCTGCAGAAGGAGGGGAAGGAGGGTCAGACTCAACAGGCACAGCTCCTGGCTGAAGCTTAAGATCCAGAAGATGCCCCGGGACTGGGAGTGCTGACCTCTTCCTGCTCAGATGGAACGTAGGTGGGTGATGTGCCCCCCCCCCAACAGACTACAACTCCCATGAGCCTTTGTGGTCACAGCCTCCCAGGTGCTTCTGGGAGTCTCCTTACAAAATTTCTGGCTAATAGGATGAGGTTTGAGGTTAAAGGACCTTTACCTGTCACAACCCACTTCAGCACAGGTAAACCAGCCCAGGTGAACCATAACTCCCATGAGCCTCTGGGGTGGGAAGGTCTCATCCTGGGCCCAGCAACTGCTCTGGAGAACCTCTGGAGGTTTCCCAGAGCCCGCAAGGCTCAGGCAGCATTCCTACCGCAGCAGTGGGGCCCAAACTCACTGGATGGTTGAGAGTGTCATCATCCACGTCGAAGTTGGAGGTGTCCACAGGCCCGCGGAGCTCAGGGATGTAGGGGGCAGTGCTGGTTGACAGCCGCTCCCAGTCCACGCCTTCAAAGAAGGGGTGGTTCCGGAAGTCATCCAGCCCCCCGCGGCCCAGGCGCTCCTCCTGGCGGCACAGCAGCTGGCGAATCAGGTCTTGGGCACTGGCCGGCACGTCAGGGGCGTCAGAGGGAAACTGCAGGTGGTCCTGTGTGGGGGTGTATGTGGAGGGGGCAGGTGGGTGCGCAGGATCCCACCCCCACCTGCGAGCACACCAACCACAGGACTCGGGACTCTGCCGCCCTCCCTCCGGGAGCCCCAGAGCCTGGTGGCCGGACCTCATGGTTCATGATCTTGCCGTAGGTTTCCACCAGCGATTCAGCATAGAAGGGCGTCTCCCCGAAGAGCAGCTCGTAGGCACAGACTCCCAGTGACCACCAGTCACACTGTGGGCCATAGTGGCCCTTGCCCTCCTCCATGGCTTGCAGGATCTCGGGGGAGATGTAGTCTGGTGTCCCTACTGCCACGGACGAGTCCACCTAGGAGTGCGGGCATTGACACCGTTAACAGCCTTGGGCTTGGCTAGACCTGATGGCCCCTCACCACAGGCCTAGGTCTAGGCCTGACACCCCTCCACCCCGGCTGGCCTGGTGACCCCACTTGGGGCCTGGACCCAGGCCTTCTTCTTCCCTCCCTCCTGGGAGGCTCCCCAGGCTGGGTGTCCCCTGCCCCTGCTCTGGGGTCTCACCATGCCCCTGTTGTTGAGGCGCAGGCAGGATCCGAAGTCAGCCAAGCGGATGTGCCCGTTCATGTCCAGCAGGACATTGTCCGGCTTGACATCCCTGAGGAAGCGCAGGGAGAGAGAGGGGCTTGACCTGCGTGTGTTCTGGCACATTCCGGGGTATAAGTGTGTATGCTCACACACGTTCCTGCGAGTACACCAGAACAGTGTGTGTGCATGCATGTGGGGGTGGGGAGGGCTGATGGCCAGGCCTCCTGGCTGCCAAGGAGGAAGAAGGTGGTTACTTTGGGAAAAGGAACCCATGAGGATGACCCATGGAGGCAGCAGAGTATGCGGTGGGGGACGCCCGAGTCAGACTTCCCTGCTGCAAATGACGACTCGGTCACCCACTGGCCGAGTCACCTCAAGCCAGGTGCTCACCTATGCCAACCTTGACTTTCTCATCTGTAAGGTGGGGACAAGAGCAGCCCCCATCACGTGAAGGTTTGAGTGTGAGGATTCAAAGGCATCGGGCATATGAAGCGCCCAGCATAGGGCCTGGTGAGTTCTCAGCGACTGTCTGCCCGTCCCTAGAGCTCTCCCCTGGGGCTGGGCAGGGCGGGAGGGGCTTTGGGGACCCCACCTGTGCACGTAGCCCAGCTGGTGCAGAGAGTGGATGGCCAGCACCATCTCGGCCAGGTAGAACTGGGCCAGCTCGGGCGGAAGGCGGTCCTCAAAGCGGCTCAACAGAGTGAGGAGGTCCCCGCCGGCGTAATAGTCCATCACCAGGTACTGGATGGGATGGGGGGGGGAGGGGAGTGGGGATGGGGGGGGGGCAAGAATCAGAGGGGAGGCCAGGGCGCTGCTTTCCACCCACCTCCCCGTGGTCCTGAGGGGCTCTGGAGAGGCAAGGCCATCTCCCAGCAAGCAGCTCTAGGGAAGCTGGCCCCTAGCCGGAGCCCAGGCAGGGACTCCAGACCCAGTGGTTGGGGGCCAGTGGAAGCCTCTAGGTCCTGGTAGGAGGGGTCTCCCTCTCCTTGGACCCAGCACCTCTGGCCCCCAAGGGCCTTCTTTGTCCCCTGGCAACAGCCCCCAACCTTGCCGAGTACCCTCACCAGGTACTCCTCATCTTGGAAGGCGTAATGCAGAGTGGTCACCCAGCGGCTGTCCCCCTTCACCAGAACGTCCCGCTCCTCCCGGAAACAGGCAGTCTGCAGCAGGTTTGGGGGGCAGAGGCGGGGTGCGATCAGAGCCCAGGAAGCCCTCCTCGCCAGCTCAGGGGGCGGAGGAGGACTAAGTAAGTCTAGGAGCTTGGATAGAGGTGGCCTGGGCGAGCCAGAGCCTGTGTTTTATGGCTCCGGGCCTCAGTGTTACAGTAAGGAAAATGGGAGCTACAGCAGCTTCTAAGAAAGGCTTACTGTAGGGAAGCAACAGGGGAGGATGGTGGTTGTTGGGGTGGACCCTCGGCCGTCCCAGCGGCCACGCCTGCCTCTTCCCCCAGCATGCCCTGCACACCCCACAGGCAGCGCACCCTCCCTCTCCTCCGCCCGTTTGTAGGGTGCCAAAGTCCCACCGGGCCCCAAACTGACCTCGGCCCTCTTCAGCATCTCCCACTTGTGCAGCATTTTCATGGCAAAAATCTGCCCGCTGTCCCTCTGCCTCACCACGGCGACCTGAGGCCACAAGAAGCACCCGGGTCAGCTCTGCCCGGGTGTGAAGCCCCTCCTCCCACCTTGCCCCAAGCCTTTGGCTCACCTCCCCGAAGGCTCCCCGGCCGATCACCTTCAAGATCTCAAAGTCATCTCTCTGCAGCCTCAGCTCTTTCACCTTTGTTACGAAGGGGCCGGCTGAAGGGACACAGAGTGGGGCTCAGGGAACTACGGCGGAGGGCCAGCTCCCTCTCTTACCTGGGGAAAGCAGGAGCCACAACCCCCCCTCCAGGGCAGGGGCGGCCTCTGGCCAAGGGGCTGCAGCCCCCTCAGTCATGAGGAGGAAGTGTGGAAGGTGGGGGTCCGGGCTTTGCTGACCACCTGGCCCCCGGACCTCCTAAAATCAACAGTTCCCTGAACGTGTCCCCAGACTCTAAGTGGCCTCATCCCAGGGCCTGACGGAACTTGTAGTCCCTCCCTGCCTGCAGGCTGACCCTGGCTGACCAGGTCACCCGGGGAGGAAGGGGATACCATTCCCACCCTCGGCTCCCAGTTCTTGGCGCCTCTCAGGACCAGGCCTGGGCCTGTCTTGGGAAACTGGACGGGCAACATTCCTTGTCCCCAGAGAGGCTTCTCTGCCACTGGGGAGCCACGAGCCCTGGTCTTGGGACCCTGTAGGCACAGAGGACCCTGGCTGGGCGTGAGGCTGGGGCGCAGCCCCAGAGGACAGGTCAGGTACGGTTCTGCAGGGCCCTGGGAGGACACCTCTGTGCTCCCCCTCCCCGTGTGGGGCGCTCTCAGTCTGGAGGCATAAATAGGTCTGCCCGGGTTCTCATGAGACTCACCAACAGAGCCAAAAAAAAAGCCTTTCCCAGGTGCCTGACGCTGGCACCCGAAGGGGTGAACACTCCAGATCTCCTCCAGGCCTGACCAGCCCAACAGCCCTAGGCCCTGCCTCCCTCTGTGGACTTGGCCTTGACCTGGCCAAGAAGCTCTTCCCCTCAAAGTCCCTGATACGCCCTTTAGGGGCATCTCCAGCCACTCCCAGGCCTTTTCCAGGAGAAGCCACAGGCCTGGGGGGGAGGGGAGCGGAGCTTGGAAACTTAGGGAGACAAGAGCGACTGGTAAGCGTTGAGGGTAGCTGCAGCCTGGCTCCCCGCCTCAGTTTCCCCCTGCCAGCAGGTAAACTCCCTGCCAGCTGGGCAGGTCCGGGGGTGGGACAGAGAGCTGCTCCACAGGTCTGTCAGGCAGAACCCCCGCAGCCGGCGTGCTGTGGGAGCCTCATTACTGAAATTAATTCTCTCTTTCCCAGGTCTGTGTGTGCAGCTGGGCAGAGCAGCCAGGGGGCCCCAAGCGGGGACTGAGCCCAGGGTGGCTCCCTATCGGCCAGACAGGAACCAAAACCCGGGGCTTTGGTCAGGAGGCTCCAGGCTCCCGGGACAGGCTGCCCGGTCCCCTCGCCTTGCCACAGGGAACGGGGGCTCTGGGCAGGAGAAGGGACAAGTTGGAGCAGGAGCAGAGTGAGTCACCGTCCTGACTTGGGAGATGTCAACAGACAGGCCCCCATGCTGGGGTCCCAGTCAGGGAGGAGCACATGTGTGTGCAAACACACATACACACACACACATACACACATACGTGTGCGGAGGCGTCAGAGCAGGTGATGACAACACGGTCAGATACACATGAATCAGGTGCAGGGGTCCTGGGGACAGTGGCAGACACCAGAGGCAGGGGCTTCCTGGCTGCCCTCACCCTGGAGGAGGTGGGCTGGGGGCATGTCTTACAGACCCCCGAGCAGGCCAGGCCAGGACTTGCGCCTGCCCAGAGCTAAGGAGTTCTGGGAATGCTGGGCACCTACTGGGCACCTACCTGCCTCACCCGGCTCTCCGGGCCAGGCCCATAAGCCCTCCCCCAACGGGCTGGCTGGACATAACCAGGGAGGCCTGGGTCTGGTGCGGGTGCCCACACTGGGCTGAGGGTTACTCCAGGCCGGCCACTTCCGGTGACTCTGATGAGTCAACCCGGAAGGAGTGCCGACCCACCTCCCCCCCCACCCCCACCCCTAGGTCCCCCTCCCTGGCTTTGGGAAACAGACCTCAGGAAGCCTGGCCAGCGGCTGGCACAGACAAAGGGGCTGAGGTTGGTTCCTGTGCCCAGTGTGGGGTGGTCTTGCGTGCAGAGAGACAGAAGCGTGTGTCTGTGGGAGTGTCTGCCAGGCGTGCAATGCCTAAGGATCTGTGAGTGGAGGTAGGCAAGTGCGTACTACGATAGCCAGGGTGGCGCGGGTGGTCTTCAGGGTGAAGTAGGGGGCTCCCGGGGCCTCTCCTTGAGCTGTATGTATCTCAGCGTGTCTGTGCAGTACGTGGGAGACTGAGGAAGCATGTGTGTCAGTGGGTGACACACACAAGGGTCTGCGAGTGTGACTGTTTGTTCTCAAGGGTCATGAGGTTTGACATGAGAGCGAGGGGTCCCTGACATGACTCTGTAGCACACGTGCCTGGGGTCTATGCTTGGGACCAAGTTTGTGTGTTTCCCTGTAAGTTGTGTGTTGTGTCCACACGCCTGTTCTGTGAGTGGGAAGGAGTGTGTGTGAATCTGAGTGAGGGTGAGGTGGGCAGCCATCTGGTAGGGCCCAAGGGGGCCAGTGGCACGTGTCAGGGCCAGGACCGGCTCTGCGCGGGGAACCCGTGGGGGTGCCCACGCTCCCTGCGGGAAGGTCTGTGGGAGAAGGGAGAGTGTGGGGGGGAGAGGGTCCCCGGCGTGGTGTCCCTCGGACCACCCCACCTCGGTCCAGCCCAGGCCACTCACCCCAGCTCAGGAACTGCGCCACGCTGCGCTCCCGCCGGAGGGGGGCGCTGCTGAGCTCGTGGTGCAGCCCCAGCAGCAGATCCAGGAGGCCGTCGAGCCCGGGGCCACCGCCGGCCTCGCCCCGCGCCAGCTGCTCCAGCGCGCGCAGCCGCCGCTCCATAGCTGCGGCCGGAGCCCCGCACCCGGGCTAGAGCCAGGCCGCCCGCATGCCCGCCCGTCGGTCCGTCCGTCCGTCCGTCCGTCCGCGGGTCGTCAGCGCGTCCTCCCCCCACCCCTCCCGCCCTCCCCGCTGTCACCTTCCTCCGCGGCCTCCTGCGCGCCCACACCTGGGCGTCGCGCCCCGCCCTCTGCCCCGCCCTCTGCCCCGCCCCCCGACGGACGGGCAGGTGAGCGCCGGCCAATGGGAGACGCTACTGGAAGTGAAGGTGGGAGGGCGGAGGCGCGCGGGGGCGGGCCATACCCTCCGCCAGGAAGTGGGGGGGCGGGTCTCGAAGAGTAAACTCCCAGGCTGGGCCGGGCCAAGGTGGGGCGGGGGGGGGTTCTCCCACTGGGGCGCTGGAAGGCTACCTAAGTCTCCGCGTGGCCCCAGAACCAGCCTTACCGAGGTGGGGGGTGCCCGGGGCAGTGCAACTTCCCTCAACCCCCTGGGAGAGGGGGCTGGAGACGCCCGCGACCCCAGAGCCGGATGGGAGGATGGGAGTTGTAGTCCCCTCTCTCCCTGGGATGCGGGCCGCGCTTGGCACACACCCCTCCCCCCCCCAACACCCCGCAAGAGGTAGTGGGGGGAACCTTGCTACTTTCTGATATCATTTTATTTGTGTCGTTACAGCCGACTTGGGAGGCAAGTAGGCGAGGCAGGGATGGTTACACCCATTTGGCAGATGGACACACTGAGGCTTGGGAAGGACGAACGTGAATGGAGAGGCTGAGGAGACCCTGGAGTGGGGCTGGGCTGGCCACTCCACCACAGGCTTTTTAAGGAGAGGCAAGCCACGGAGAGGTGAAAGCTGGGCCGGAGGAGGTGGGAGAGGGGAGGGCCTGATTCTATCCAGTGACATTCTGATTTCTGCCCAGCTGTCTCCAGCTGGGCTGGACCGGACGCCATTGGGCTGTGGGCCTGTCCAAGAGGACGGTTCAAGGGGTGGGGCACTTTAGTTGCTTTTGGACAACAAATTCTTCCATTAAAAGATCTCTGGCAATTTGCCTCCCCCCTCAGACTGGGACCTCCTGGGGTCCAGACAGTCAGGTTGCCAGCGTTGAGGGAGGAGGCGCTGGGGGAGGTGGGGGGTGGGAATGTCTCTGGAGCTGAACTGAACCTCCCTGGCAGTACACAAGGGAACTTTCTGACTTGTCTCCTGTTTGGTGTCCTCAGAGACCTGCTCTGTGGCTTCCCGGTGCCCTGTGTCTGTGACATGGAGTCAGGCAGTCTCACCCAAGTCAGTCAGGTGAGAGAAGGGAGGCAGGCTTCAAACCCAAATCTGGGGATCTCCTCACAGCCTCTGTCCCCCGCGAGGGTGGAGGGTAGGGTATCTGGTGTTTTCTCACCTGGAGCATTCTGGGCCCTCCTCGTGGGGCCGGGCAGGGCTGGGGCCTGCCCCACCACAGGCCACAGGGGGGCGCCAGAGACCAGAGCAGGGCCAGCTGCTCAGGCCCGTCTCCTAGAGATCTAGGGGGTCGGAAAGCGTCCTGGGTGGGAAGATGGGCCACTTCTCGCTGCCGCTCTTGGACATCCTGAGTTCCTGCCCCCAGCCCACCTCAGCCCCCAGGGGCCAGCAGTCACCGGCCAACTGGTGAGGCCTCTGGGTCCTGGATCACTGCCTGTGTGACCCCTGGCCAAGTCCCCAGGCCTCTGGGAATGCTGAGTTCCCCCAGCAAGGCTATCCTTATGTCCTTCAACTCCAGCCCCACAGGGACGCCTGGCTGGCTCAACTGGTAAAACATGCGACTGTTGATCTTGGGGTTATAAGTTCAAGCCCCACATTGGATGTAGGGATTACCTTTAATAAATAAAAATCTTGGGGCGTCTGGGTGGCTCAGTCAGTGAAGCGAACGACTCTTGATTTCAGCTCAGGTCATGATCGCACAGTTTGTGAGTTCGGGCCTCGCATCCAGCTCTGCGCAGCTTGCTTGGGATTCTCTCTGTTCCTTTCTCTCTGCCCCTCCCCTGCTCGTGTTCTCGCTCTAAAAAATAAATAAGTAAACATTAAAAAAAAAAAAGAAACAAGAACCTTAAAAAAATAAAAATCTTTTAAAAAAGGGAAGACTCCATCCCCACATAGCACAGCAGAGGGGAAACCGAGTCCCACACATCAAAAAGTGGGTCCTGCCAAGGTCAGAGCTGGGACTGGCACTCGGCACTCCCAGCCCATCTGGTACTTGATTCTGCTTGGTCCTGTGTTTGCTTTTGTCACATCCTTGTTCCCAGCCTCAGTTTCCTTGTCTGCAGCAGGGAGGTGGGGCGCCCTGCCCACTCCCCTGCAGCTCCAAGGTCAGAAAGCCCCTCAAGACTCAAGTCTGTGCCTAACCTGCTCCAACCTCCACAAGCATCCTGTTCTCCAGCCCTGCACGCGGCGCTGCTTTGCCCAGTGGATTGTGAGCTTGTGAGCCAGACCCCCCAGGGCCGCAGAGACCGTGTCCCAGGGGGCCCTGTGTGGGGCCAGGATCCTGACCCAGCTCGGAGGGTGTTCAGCTCTGAAGAGGAGACACCCACTTTCCCCTCTTCCCCACTGCCTTCTTGGTCACTGCCTGTGGGAGACCTGCCCCGGGGCAGGGGCCACCTGCTTCCCTCCTACTCTTCCCCCCTCTGAGTCCCTTTGATACTGAAGTGCACTATCTCTCACCCAGCCTTGTGGGGCGTAGATCCCAGATCTGCAGATCACCCTTACATCCCTATGGTGCTCCTTAGCATTTCAAAGTATCTGTGGATCTGTTATCTTCACAAGGAGGGGGTTATTATTACCTTCCCTTAATAGATTAATACCTGAGGCTGGGGAGGGAGGACGGGGGTGGTGCCAGACCTCCCTCCTTATCAAGGTTTCAGGCCGACTAGTGCCTGGCTGGGGAGGGGCAGGGTGTAGCAGCATCCAGATGCCCGATGCCAGGGCCAGGGGGCGAGGAAAGCCAAACTGCAGTGAACTTGACATAGACTTCTGTGAAGGGCCTTGGATGGCGAGACTCAGGCCCGCCCCCCGGGCCCCCAGGGAAGTGGCAGAGAACTCAGCTTCTTCGACCCCCAGAGCACCGCCCTCTGGGTCCGGGAGGGGACCAGAAGCAAGACAGGCTCCAGGGTCCCTTGCATTCACAGCCACATCTTGGGTGTCCCAGGCCTGGTCCGTGGCTCCCCTTTCCCCAAGGTCGAGTGAGATTCAGAGGAAGAGCCTCTCCCAGCCCTGCTCAGGAAGACTCTCTCGGCAGATGGTCCTGAAGGGCTAACTAGAGCGGCAGACTGCCCTTGCCCTTGGCCACAGCAGAGGCAGTGACCCACTCCTTCCCCAGACAGAGAGCCAGGGAAAAAGGAGAGGCTGGCTGCGGGGTCACACAGCCATGCCTACTGTTGACCAGGCATGTGGCCTTGGGCAAGTCACTCCCTCTCTGGGCCACTGTCTTCGTGAACAAGCTGGGAATTGCCCAGCTCAGGTGTAAGAGGCAAATGGTACACAGAATGGCCACCAATGTTGCTGGGGCGCATCTGATAGGAAGAGAGGGTGGGGGGGTGGGGGCGGGTGCTGCTCAGGAGCTCGGGTTCTATTTCAGGGTGTCTATTGGGCTGGCTTTGGGGAAAGGGCTGCTAGAGATTGGGGGGTCGAGGGTCCCCACTCCCCGAGCTAGTCTTGGCCGCCCCACATGCCCACTCTCCCGCCCTCCCCAGCACACCAGGGGTGTGTCCTTTGAAAAGTCCAAAGCTCCAAATGGCTGGACATATGGTGATTTCATCATCCTGGTTTTTCCTTCCAAAAACCTTGTCTGTGCGACTCTAACACACGATGGGGGCTCCCACGCTCCCCGCAGCTGCAGCCCCACGTGGTTTTATAATTATCAATCCCTCTGGGGGCACAGGAAGCCAGGCCCTGAGCCCCCTTGGCCACCATCCCTCTGGCCCCTGGGCGCCACCCGGTCTGCAAGCTGCTTTGGGGAAGGGTGGGTCCTGCCTGCTTTGTTCTGGGAGTTGGGTGGGGTGCTAGGCTCCCTGCACCAAGTCTTAGCAACCCCCCCAGCCGACCAGTCACAGTGGGTCACTGGAGTTGGTACCCCAAGGGCCCTGCCTCTGTGAAGCTGGGGTCATTGCATTTGGCACAGGAAGAAACAGCCTCAGGAGAGAAGAGGCGGAGTTCCAGAAAATGGCAGAGCTGGGACTGCAACTCGGCCTGACCCAAGGCCTGACTTCTGTGCACTTTCTCAGCTGGTGTGTGTGTTAATGTCTTATTTATTTAAAAAATTTTTTATGTTTATTTTTTTGAGAGAGAGAGACAGAGCATGGATGAGGGAGGGGCAGAGAGAGAGGGAGACGGAATCCGAAGCAGGCTCCAGGCTGAGCTGCCAGCACAGAGCCCGACACGGGGCGCGAACCCACAAACCATGAGATTGTGACCTGAGCCAAAGTCGAATGTTTAACCAGCTGAGCCATCCAGGCGCCTATTATGTTTTGTTTATTTTATTTTTTTTAAAAAAATTTTTTAATGTTTTATTTCTAGGAGAGAGAGAGACAGTGTGAGCAGGGAAGGGTCAGAGAGAGAGGGAGTCACAGACTCTGAAACAAGCTCCAGGCTCTGAGCTGGCAGTCAGCACAGAGCCCGACGCGGGGCTCGATCCCACGAACCGCGAGATCATGACCTAAGCGAAAGTCGGACGCTTAACCGACTAAGCCACCCAGGCGCCCCAGTTTTGTTTACTTTTGAGAGGGAGGGAGGGGGCAGAGAGAGAGGGAGAAAGAATCCCAAGCAGATTTTGCACTGTCAGCACAAAGCCTAACCCAGGGCTCGAACCCATGAACTGTGAGATCATGACCTGAGCTGAAATCAAGAGTCGGACACTTAACTGACTGAGCCCCCAGGGTGGCCCTCAGCTGGTGTGTTTTGAATGCTGAAGGGCAGGAGGGGTGGCTGGGCGTCTTGCCCCTATCACAAACTGCTGGCTTTGGGCAAGTCCCATGGCCAGCCCATTTGAGGTACGAACAGGACACAAGGTCAGGTTTACAGTTTGTCCTTCTGTTTGCTAAGGATGAGAAGAAATGTCTATTCAGATGCATTCTCCTGTGGGACCTCAGTGTATAACTGAGCTGCCAAGTGGGGGCTGAGGCAGCGGGTGCGCCCCAGTGCCTTCCTGGGTGCACGTGGGCAGAGGGTCTCAAATGAGTCTTATTCTGGAAGTTCTAGGAACCTGGTGGAATCAGGGGGACGGAGGAAGAGATGGAGGGCTGGCCCTTGGGAGGGGGGCCACATCTGAACCTCAGGCTGGGGGAAGGCCCCCAAACTGTAAAACCCAGACCGAGGGACATGAGCCCTGAAGCAGCAGGAGGGGCAGACACCTGCCCTCGGCCTCTCCTTCAAGCCTCAGATGGCAGCCGTTTCCTGGGGCCGCCCCGCCATGAGGAGGGCAGGACGGGCCAGAAGGGGCACTTCTCACTCACATTCCGTAGGAACTCCAAAGTTCTGCGTTTTCTTTCTCTAGCAGCTTGAACAAGCACGTTCTACCGCTTGGGTGACCCCTGGAAATTGAGGGGCTGCCCCAGAGCTCGAAGGCCCTGGGTGGGAGCGATAGCATTGAACCTCCAGGGTGGGTTTCTCAGACTCAAGTCTATAGCTCAGATTTTGGGGCACAGCGAACTGTGAGCTTTTCCTTTTTCAAGGCTACTTTTGGGGGCACCTGGGTGGCTCAGTCGGTTAAGTGTCGGACTCTTGGTTTCAGCTCAGGTCATGATCTCACGGTTCATGAGATTGAGCCCTGAGTTGGGCTCTGCGCTGACTGTGCAGCACCTGCTTGGGATTCTCTCTCTCCTTGCTGTCTCTCCCCTGCTGCTCTCTCTCGCTCTCTCAAAATAAATATTTTTATTTTTTTAATTAATTTTTTTAATGTGTATTATTCGAGAGACAGACAGACATAACACGGGGGAAGGGCAGAGAGAGACGGAATCCAAAGCAGATTCCAGGCTCCGAGCTGTCAGCACAGAGCCCGATGCAGGGCTCAAACTCACGAACCGCGAGGTCAAGACTTGAGCTGACGTCGTACGCTTAGCCGACTAAGCCACCCAGGGACCCCAAAATAAACATATAAAGTCTACTTTCGAGAGCTCTGGAGTTGGGCACACTGGGTTTGAGTCCCACACCTCCACGCTTGCTTTCCGTTCTCCTGAGGCTCAGGTTCCCGGCTATGAAATGGGGAAAAGTAACCTCCTGGGTCATGAAGGTCAAGGCAAACCTTCTGAGCGGTAGGGGGAGGGCAGGTGAGCCCCTGCTACCTCAGCTACCGGGCATCAGACCGGACGGCCACCGCATGAGCTGCGGCATATAACCTGGCCCTCAGAAACTTGTGTCCTGCCTGTGTCACAGATGAGCCCTGCCTGCATCTAAAATGTCCCTGCTCCCATGGTGCATCAGCTCCGGATGCCACCCTTCCCTCTGCCAGTACCAACAGTCCCCCGTCCGCACTGGCTGGCCCCACTCTCCATAATTGTGTTTTCGTTGCCACTGCGTCTCCTCTGTGTCTTCAGAGCGTGGGCTTCACTGTCTCCAAACCACCCGGGGCTCAGCGCAGGGCGCAGTAAGCCCTGGTCTCCTTGTCCTCAACCCCCCCAGTGCCGAGGGTCCAAGGCCAGAGAGGGGCCCCGGAATCGGGCACCTTCTCCCCCAGCCCCTTGGGGGCCAGCCTAGTCCTCAGTCATCAGCACTTTTCCTTCCCCCCCCCACCTCCCCCCGCAAATGAACTACGCCTGCACAGCCCCCACCTGGCCCACGCAAAGCGGGGGTCGTCAGCCCCATTCCAGGCCTCGCTCTAGGAATAGAAGGCGACAGCTGCTGCTGGGCTGAGCGTCGCAGGGCAAGGACCACCTCCGCACCCTGGCAGGCGTGCCGATCTGTCCCCGCTGGCACCTCGGCCCTCCAGGCGCCCCGCCAGTGTCCCAGCCGGCGCTGTGGGGTGCGGGCCCCGGGAAGAGACAACGGAGCACCAAGAGCCAGCTTTGGCGCAATTAAACCGTTTTTAATGCAAGAAAAGAAGTTGTCTTCGGTCGCTTTTTCTTCCCACGAGTAAGTGTGGATGAGCCACGGCACCTTGACAGTGACTTCCCGACCGGGAGGCTGCCCCCATCCTCGCCGAGTACTGCACAGAGCGGTGGGCCTGAGCCAGCTGCAGGTGACGGGGTCGGGGCTGGCGTCTCAGACCCAGCGGAGGCCCGGACGGCAGCACTGGAGGGGTGGGGGGAGGGTGTCAGAGGTCAGATGGAGGGGTCCCTGAGACCTACCTGGGGAGTGCTTGGTGGGAAGCCTGCCCCCCCGGCCCCCCGCCAGTGACGGGGACGCGAGTGCACGTCCTGGCCCCCCTGAGGATGTGCTGGCACCTGAGGCAACCTGACCTGGCGGCTCGCTGCCTCGGGCCCCTCGCTGCTCCGCCTGGAGGGATGTTATTCTAAGGGCAACCGAGACAACGCGCTGCCCTCCTTCTCGATGGGAGGAAGGAAAGAGGGTAGGAGAGCGCTTCCCTGGGAAACGAATGGGGGTATGAGGGGAAGGGCTGTCTGGACGCGAGGCCTGGGCTGGGACACTTCTTCAGAGCCCGCCACCCAACCAAGGTTGGGGGGAGGAGACACGCCAGAAAGTTCCAGGCAAGTAGAAGGGAGAAGCGAGCAACGCCAGCTCTGGGGTCCCCAACGGGCTGTGCTCTGCACGTCCGACGGCTCCTGGGTGGAACTGCCCCTGCTTGGAGTGTGGGAAAAGGGACAAAATCACAGCTTCTCAACAAGTGGTGAGGAAGTTACTGAAAAATTCGGTCAAGTATGAGAGCCGTCGCTTTACGGAACACAAAGCTAGCTTATGTTTTCCTGGGAGACGCTCTCGCACACCTACGTGTCCCCGGGACCCCATGAAAAAGGCAGCTGGGCTTATTTCAGTGACTGCCAAGCTGGAGGGGCGGGGTGGGATAGGAGGGCAGAGAGCAGGGCTTGTGCACAGGGGCCGCCCGGGAGGGCAGGGAAGAAGGCACCAGAACTGACCTAATCCAAGAGCACAGGGAGGGGACAGAGCCACACAGGGAAGGAAGCCACCCGTCTGGCAAAGCCACACTCATCTCGGCGACAAACTGGGATCCTGGGGCACCTGTCTGCACATGGCCCCGGGTCCCCCCTCCGCCCCACCCCCACAGGTGGGGGGGGGGCTAGCCAGGGTGGGCGGGGCCAGAATAGGACAAAGGCTTGTGGTGGGGGGACTGTCAGACGGAGGAGGCAAGAAAGAACGCTGCCTCTAACGTTATATATTAAAAATATCCATAGTTCTTGTGCACAAAATTCCATCATTCACATGCGAGTATCACCCGCCTCCCTGCCAGGCCCGGGAACACCCTTAAAAAGAGAGATGGTGGTTTTCCTTTTCAAGAGCTGAGGAAACATCGCTCAGTCTTTATGGACCTCGAGAACTGGCGACCCTTCCCCTCCCCCCAGCCTCTGCCTGGCCAGGCGGGTCACGGTCACAGTAACTCGTGCCTCCGCTTGGAGGGCGGGATCAGGTGTGGGGGCAGGTCGGCAGGCAGCTCGTGGCCCTCCAGCTTGACCTTGATGAGGTGGTTGGCCAGGGCGAACTCCTCGTCATCCAGAAGCCCGTCCTTGTCCACGTCGGCCAGCTTCCAGATCTTCCCCAACACCGTGTTGGGCAGCTTGGACTTCACCATCTCCTTCTTGGCGTTGGCGCCCGTGATCTTGCCGTTGACGGGCGACAGCGTGTAGAAGATCTCATCGTAGGTGGGCTTGTCCTTGCCCACCACCCACTCCACGTCGTCGATGCCCTCGCCGGCCCCCTCGCCGTAGCCGTGCCCAAAGGGCCCGTTCATGGTGCCTTCGAAGGCGCCGCCCTTCACAGCCTGGGAGGGCATCAGAGACTCCTCCTGGCGCACCATCACCATCAGCCGCGCGATGTCGTTGGCCAGCATGTCGTCCACCGTGTCCAGCAGCTTGGGCTTCAGGGCCTGGAACTTGCTGAAGTCCTGAGTCTGCAGGAGCTCCTGTGGCAGGGGGGAGGTGGGAAGGGCTGGCTCAGGTCCAGGTGGCAGAGGCAGGGGTTCCCAAGCCAGGGAGCTGCCTCCCAGTCTCGGCCCCGACCCCTTGGCAGCACCTCAGCCTAGGCTCCCAAGTGTGCGGGGAGGAGGTATCTTCCCTGAAGGGCTGTGGGGAGGACGGGCCCAATGGCGCTGGAGTGCCTGGAGCCTCCCCTCCACCCCCGCTGGCTCAGGGTGAGTCACTGCATTCCCCTCGGTAGTGTCACGGCCCGGGTGGACTTCTGATTTGGGTGGGGTGCTGCTGACTGACTCAGCTGCTTCCATCTGGGGAGCCCCCGCCCCGCCTCACCCCCCGCCCACCGCGGCGCCCAGAGGGCACGTGGAGAGTGCGCGGGCAGCCACACCTGCATCTTGCGGAGGCTCGGGAAGTCACCGGGGGAGATCTGGTGCTCCCGCTCGATCTTTTGGTAGATCTCTCCCAGGTTGTTCACCAGCTCTTTCTTTTTGCTCTCTTTACCGAAGACATTGGGCATCTCCTTCTTGAGGGAGCTGATGATGTAGGCATGGACCTGCAGAGACAGGAAGGGGCGGACGTCAGGTGCTTCCTGGACACCCTGTCAGGAGGGGGCCTGTGCTGGGGGGTGGGGGGAGCTGCCCTGGAAGGCTGGGACGGTAACTGGGGACCAGAGCCCAAAGCGGACCAGAGCCAGTGTTCTGTGTGGCACCGGGCGTACCCCAGCTGTCCCTCTGCAGCAGAGGTGTGGCGTACAAGCCAAGCAGAGCCCCACCGTCCCACGTGCGCACATCTGTGGCTGATGATGTCAAGTTCACAAAACTCAGTTGATCACCCTAACAGCTCAGAATGACTAAGGATTAGGAAAATCACCTACAGCTTTTCCCAGATGTTTTGAAGTTTATCTAAGCTCAATACCTTACTTTGACCATTGCCAGTTAGGGGCGGCACACCCTGCATTTCCCCACAGCGCACCGCTGACGCCGGCCACCCTCCCAGGGCCTTGGCCCTCAAATCCCTCTGCCCTGCCAAGTACTGCCCAGCCGTGAAGGGCTGCAGCCAGAGGCCTCACCCTCCTTCTCCAGACTGTGAGCTCTATGCCATCAAAACCCCTCCCCCGCTGCCTGCCCCAGGCTGAGAGCCTGGCTGAGAACCGCCCGAGGGCAACAGGCCTGGCGCAGAGAGTGGCAGTCACCACTCTGCCTATCACAGGCCATGCAAGCTGGTGCAGAGAGCCGCTAACTCCAGGAAAAGGAAACAGTCTAGAAACTGCAGGTGCGGGACAAGATCGGAGGCCCCGGGGTTTTCCAGGCGTGGTGACTCAATGTGCCTGTTGGCCGGGCGATTACACACCATTCCTGTGGGTGAACAAAGGGCCTGCCGTTTGTCGTGTCCTGGAAGGAGGCTGCGCGAGAACACAGGCGGCCCCGCCAGCAGGAGGCTGGACAAGGGGAGCCCAGAGCTGCCCTTCTCCACAGCCTGGGAACGGGAGAGACTGGGGAGCCGGGTCAGTGGGTTTTCTCATGGGTCCCTTTCTGAGAAGTGGCTCCACTCACTGGGAAAGTTCCAGAAGTGAGAGATCTAGAAAACTGTGCAGCTCTGTATCCCCCAGAGCAGGCTTCTGCACGCTACTGAGTGCATGGATCACCAGGGCCAGGGGTTCAAACGCAGAGAGTTCAACAGTGCGGGGTAGGGCCTGAGAACTGCACTTCTAGCACACTCCAGAAAGGCCCGTGAGCACTGTGGGTGACCAGGTCGGAGACACGGACTAGTGGTAAAAGATGAAGGGTCGGCACCCACAGGCTCCCTGACTTCAGGCCTCCAGATGGTGAGGGACACCCTGAGCCACCGCATCGGGAGCCCTGGGTGATGGTTTCACAGGCCACGGGACCGCCTTCGCTGAAGCCCTAATACCCACAGGACACCTTCCTATTCCTCTGCGAGCCACAGGCGGGCGTGAACCCCCCAGCAAGCGGCCATGGCTCTAGGGGAAGGGGTGATGCACAGGGTCCCTGGTCGGCAGCCATTGCCCACAGGCTCAGGCTGAAGCCAAGCTCTGAGCCCCAAGGATCCGTAACCCTGACGTGGGCACTGTTGTGGCCCGAAGACACCCAGGTGGGCTCAGGACATGCTATGTTAAATCAGGGGACACGCTCTGCTCCTCTATGTTTGAAGGGTCCACTGGTGGCACTGACCTTTGCTTCCCAGCCCCATCCAGCCTGGGTCCCAATGAGGCGCTGGCCAGGCGCTGAGATCCCAGGCCCGTGAGCGGTTCCGACACTGCCGCTCCCAGCAGGGGTGGGCAGGCCCCGTGCTTCCACAGAGCACTGGGGGCCATTTACGAGGCCTCTGGGGGCTGAGGCCACCCGGGGTTCTCCCTGGGCCCACGGGCTTGCACCCCATCTCTACACCAGCTCCCACCCGAGGCCTCGCGGTCACCTGCTCCTGCAGCGACCCGCCCCCCATGACAATACAAAAATCTGTGCTTTATCTTCACGTGTTCTGCTTTCCCAGTACGGCTGGGGTGTTGGAAGGGCAGGGACCATGTGTGTCAGTGCCCACTGTGTCCCCAGCACCCAGCATGTGCTAAGTGCTCAACAGGCCTAGAAGAGAAGGGTGATGAGGACAGGAGCTGCACCCCCACCTGCTCTCCATTTCCCAGGCTGCCCCCGGGCACAGTGCTACCTTCCCACTTGATGTCTACATGCATCAAGACTCCATTGACAACAGGGTTGCACCCATGGGTGCAGAGAGGGCTCGTTCAGACATAGCGCAACCTAAGTGTGGCTGTGGGCCTGCATGGACGGGACTTGGGTGCCCCAAAAGCCATGGCAGCCCAATCCTGGGGCCCCAACTGGCAGTCCCAGGTCCCCTTGAGTGCCCCGCCCCCCAATGCCCCATCTACCTTGGCCAGCCGCGCACGCTTGATCAAGTCATTGAGCTTCCTGAGGGCAGCGTTTCGGGGCAGAGACTGGATGTCTTTGAAGAGGTCCTGCTCCTCGGCCTCGAAGAGCTTGCGGTTGTCAGGGATGAGGAGCGGGTGGGACCAGAAGGAGCCGATGTAGACCCGGACCACCTCGGGGGTGTTGATGATCTTCCCCAGGGACCACATGAGGGCCCCGTAGACCCGCATCAGCTGCTGAGTCTCGATCTGGTCGGCCTTGTTCAGCACCACGCGGATCTTGTCCTCATGGTTCTTGAGGGCCTTGATGACCTCTGAGAACTCGTCGGAGATGTCCAGCTTGTGGGCGTCAAAGAGCAGGATGATGCGGTCCACGCGCTCGGCGAACCACTCCAGGACGGCTGCGAAGTCGTACCCTGCGGGGGATGGGAAGAGCAGGGGTGAGGCGGGGCACCAGGGCCCAGGCGGCTCAGATGGCTCTCCCCACCCTCAGCTCAGCCTGGGGCCATTTAAATTTCTGCCACGTACTCAGGGGGCCGGCCCAGCACCCTGAGGGCCCACCCTCGCCCACGTAGCACCTGGCTCCGAGCACAAATCAGCCACTCAAAAGAAGTCAGAGGCTGAGCTCTGGAGCGGCTCAGCGAGGAGGGGAGTGAGGAGGAGAGGACTCACAGCGGGGAGAGAGCAGAGACTTGGGGGCAGCTGGAGGCCCTCGGACGACAGGGACGGCAACCGCCGCCACACCTGCAGCCGCTCCTCATTCTGCAGAAACCTCATTTATTCCCCACAACAGGGGCTGCAAACCACAGCTGGCCCATCACCTGTTCCGTAAACAAAAATTTCATGGGGGGGGGGGGCGGCGCCTGCGTGGCTCGGTCGGTTAAGTGTCCACCTCTTGACTCCGGATCAAGTCGTGATCTCACAGCTCGTGAGATGGAGCCCTGTCGGACTCGGTGGGGACAGCGAGGAGCCTGCTTAGGATTCTCTCTCTCCTTCCCTCTCTGTTCCTCCCCCGCCCTCTCTTGCTGTCTCTCTCTCAAAACAAGTAAAGTTTTATTGGAATGCACCTGCACTCCCCAGTACAGTCTACGGTAGCTTTTGTCTACAAGAGCAGAGTTCAGTTGCCACATGACACGGACCACGGGCCTGAGAAGTCAAAAGTATTAATCCTGACCCTTCAGAAACACTTTGCTGGCCCTGCTCTACGGCAGCCTATGAAGTTCCGCACTCCACCTCCCCTCTCTAGGGGTCTTTAATGCTTCCCGAAAATGAAGCAGCTCTGCCCTCTATTCTCTGCTGTTCCCCAGCATCCAGTTAAAAGCCCTTTGGTGAACGCAGCCACCCCATAGCAGAACTCTTCCTTTAATAACAGAACTGTCTGGTTGTAGCTGATTTCAGGGCCCCACCGCTTCAGACTGCATCCCCAGCCTCTCCGGAAGCAGAAGGTGTACGAGCTCTTCGTCCTCTTCTCCCCTCCTGATGAATGGAATGCAGATGTGACGGAAGGAGCTGGAGCGACCACCCTGAGTTCAGAGATGCAAACTGAACATCCAGGATGGCCTTGGACTATTGGTTTCCACATCAACTGCCTGATAACCTGTTTAAGCCAACGGAATTTGGGGTCTCTGGGACTGCGGCTTAATTTGCATCCTATTCTACAATCATCCCGCTTCAAAATGTTTCCACCTCTTCCACTGCGGCCAGAAGACATGAAAGTTCTAGTTCTCATCTTTTTAGGAATCACAGGCCACCTCAAATGTAGGCCGGCCCTTCTGAGAAGCACCAAACACACCCCAGAGCACAGTCAAGTTCCTGAGGGTACGCCGGAGGGGCCGCTCCTACAGAGCCCAGGACCCTGCTTTCCGAAACTGGCCCCGATCAACCCCTGCATCCTCACAGCCTGACCTGAGCATCCCCTACGCAATGCGCTCACTACCCTCTGACCAAACTGGGGTCTAGACACGCATTCTCTAGACGGTGGGTTACAGAAAGGAGCAGGTGAGCGGGGAGAACAAAGGACAGAGTGTCAAGAAAAGGCCCAGAGTGACCATCAGTGCCACGAGGCAGGAGGGCAGCCCACCCCAGCCCTATGGTTAAGGAACCTTTGGGGCGGTTCGTCAGAGGGGTATCTGGCCGCTCCGGGTCCTGCTGAGCCTCACAGACTGAATGCAAGTCTATACGGCTGAGCTCCCCAAGAGGCTGCCTCCATTCAGGCTAGAGCCGGGCCCCCATCGCACGGGCTTTAAGATAAACAGTTAACACTGTGGGTGCGCCTAGGGGAGAAGTTGCTCGGCTGGATAAACATTCTGGCCGCCAGGCAACCCCCCAACCTCACCCTGGTTCAAGTGTGTTTCGGAGCTGTCTGCTTGCCTAAGCCATAGCATTCCAGGCCTCTCCCCACTCAGGCTCTCGGAAAGAACACAGGCCCTTAAATAAGACAGCTCTGTTCAACTCCCCGCACCGGCCCCCTACTGTGACCTGAAGCTCTTTTTTTTAATTTTTAAAAAATCTTTATATTTGAGAGAGAAAGAGAGCATGAGCAGGGGAGGGGCAGAGAGAGAGACGGAAACACAGAATCCGAAGCAGGCTGCAGGCTCCGAGTTGTCAGCATGGAACCCAATGCGGGGCTCGAACTCAGAGACTGCGAGATCATGACCTGAGCTGAAGTCAGACGCTTATCTGACTGAGCCAGGCGCCCCCGTGACCCGAAGTTCTAACTTCTGAGTTACAATTTTTTCATCTGAGAAATTCACAAAACAATTCCTCCTCCTACGGTCATAGGGAGGGCTGGAAGCGGTGACACGCAGGGCTCGTGGCACAGGCCCCACTGGCAGGAGGGACCGGGTGGCCTAGGACGGCATTACGAGTCAGGACCGGAGATGAACCTGGTTCTGAGGCCAGAAGCCAGCTTTCATCCTTGGGGTAAGACATCGAGACTCCAGGAAAACCCCAAATTCACTGCTTCTGTCGACTCAGCACGGCAGCCACATGCATCTGTCCCCATCCAGGCACACCAGGGAGACAGGACGCTCAGATCAGAAGCAGCCTCTCGCCCTGCCGGAGTTTTTAACAGAGTGGAAGTAAGGTGAAGCTGGGGGGCAGTAAAGCCCCTGGGAGTCTGAACTTGGGCCTGGGCACGGCAGTCCTCAGCCTTCCCGGGGCCAGCGCAGACAGATGGTCGCTAAGTGTGAGAGGCACAGAGCGAGTGCCGGGGCCTGCGCCGGCATCCCAGGCTGCTGGCCCCAGAGGACAGGGGCCCCGGCCGCCACGCAGCTGGCCCCGAGAGCCACTAGAACAGGAAGGCCGAGGAGCAGGCGAGGGAAGCGGCAGGGAGCCCCTGGGGCCTGCCGGGGCCGCACAGCCACCGCCTTTTATGGCCGCCTCTGGGAACAGCGGGTCAGCGCTGGAAAAGCAATGAGTCAGGACTCAGCGGTGGCTCCTGCTCAGCAGAAACGAGGCCCAACTTCTCCCCGTGCCAAACCGCTTGTCCTCAGACCATCACGGATTGGATGAGCACAGATCCACACAGCTGGGGAGGCAGCGGCGCCAGAGGCGAGGCACTGGGAATGGGGGGCGCCCTGATGGGCTGGGCTCCAGCCCAAGTTAGCTTTGGCCTGGGAGTCAGAACAGCACACAGGGAGCTGAGCTCACCCCCAGACTCCACCCAATGTGGCCTCACGCCCCCTCCCCTGATGGTGGGGGGCCCAAGATGGGGGGGGCCCCTCTAGAAAGGAGGAGGGGCAGGAGGAGGCGTTTCTGAATTGTGGCTGGTCACTGCCGCAGGTCCGAGAGCCCCAAGTGCCCCTCGCCACCCCACCCACAAACCCAGTTACTCGCCAGCATCTCAAGCTGGAGCCGACAGAGCTAAGTCCTTTCTTTCTTTTTTTTTTTTTTGCAGGTGAATGAAATTTCCTGTTTATTATGAAAACTGCTCACACTTTTGGTGAGGGAGACACGGTGGCTGGCCAAGTCCATCCACAGGTCATGTAAAGGGTCACAACACTCAGGCTCATACGAGGTCATCACAGGTGTGTGACCACACACAAGCATGTTGGCTGTAGCCACCGCCAGGCCTACCTGGCATCCACCTGTCCACCAAACCCTCACTCGACCTGAGGGATGGCATCTCAAAAGGTGCCAAGGGCTAGAGCGGCACCAAAGCATCACTCAAGTCCAAGCACCTGGCAAGGCAGCCACAGCCACCAGCCTGGAGCTGGGCAGCAGGTGACAAGTAAAGGGACAAACGTGCCTCATCTCCACCCTCAGCCTTGCCCAAGGCAGTGAGCCTTTGGGCTTTGGGACACATTAGAGCCCAGCCTCCGTGACAAGATTAGTGACAAGATTAGTGCCAAGTGACAAGATGGCTGTCAGCCATCAGATAACCCTAATGCACAGCATTTCCACAGGGAAAGTGGGAGTTCATGGCATGCCTGGTGACTGAGAAAAATACACCCCCACCCAAGGAGACAGGGACACTTTGTCTGCCTCAGGTGGGGCCAGGACTGAGTGTGTGGACACCAGTGTCCCTATGAAGGACAGCCAACACAGTCCAAAGTGGTGAGCTGGAAAGGAAAGGCTGATTCCACAGTGTGAGGAAATGCCAGTGCTGTCTTATAGGGGACAAGCTCCAACACAGAAAGTTCTGGAACTTTGGAGCCATAATAGAATAAGCCAGGCACAAAACAATATCGTAGGACTCAACTCATATGAAGTACCTGCAGTCAAATCCATAGAGGCAGAAAGTAAAACGGGGTGGGGGGTGGGGCGATGGAGAATTAGTGGTTAATGGGGATACAGGTTCCGTTTGGAAGATGAAAAGGTTCTGAAAGGTGGTGACAGTCGCACAGCAACACGGATGTACTCAGGGCCACTGAACTGCGCACCTAACATGGTTAGCGTGGTGACTCTTAGCACGTGCGTGCACACGGTCGTCGGGGGTGGGGGAAGAGGGGAGAGAGAAGAGTCGTTTGCTCCCTTAGGGTGACCAGGCTGGGTCTCGGGGAAGTAACGATGCAGGCCAGCGGACAGGAGGCCCCGACGTGCCTCCCGTCCCAGCTCTGTCCCCACCGCGTCCCGCTCCCCGCCACGGGCACAGAGGCAGAGGAGGGAAAACGCGACAGGTCCTCGCCTTCCCCTGGCACCCTCCACACACAGGTAGTTCCAGCAGCTGGGGGAAAAGCCACTTCACACTTTCCAAGTTTCTAGAACACCAACAATAGAGGGTTTGTCTGCAATCCACGCCTGTTTCCTGCCATTCAAGCCGCGTGGGCCTCGGTATTTCTTGCCACGGCTCCTACCGCGCATGCTCCCAGCTGGTGCTGGGCCCAGGAGAGGGGCACAGAGGGGCAAGGCGCTGAGTGAGGACGGGCTGGCGAGCTTCTGCAAGGAGGCACCCTTCAGGGCAGGGCTTCCCCAG